GGTGCTCGGCAAGTGTGGTCGGGTGCTAGTCATGGCCCTTCAGTTTGGGTCGTGACAATTAAAGCCTGTTTAGCATTAAAATTTTGTGATTACTAGTATTCTTAATAGGGGTGTACATAGGTCGGGTTGGTTCGGATTTTATAATTACCAAACCAAACCAATTGTGTCGGGTTGTTAAATCTAAAGACCAAACCAAACCAATAAAACTCGGGTTTTCCGCTCTTGGTTTTTCTCGGGTTTTCGAGTTATTCGGATTTTTTCAGGTTTTTTTCTAGTAAAATCTTCGTAGAACAAAATATATAAATTGTGCTTAAAATATTTCTTTAATCCTAGTAAGATGCAACTATATAAAGTATTTTTCAAGAAANATTGATAGACACGGGTGCCACCCACAACTACTTGTCGTCAACGCAAGTAGAGCGCCTAGGTCTTGTTGTGCAAAAAAGCAAAGGCCGTATCAAGGCTATAAACTCACCACCCCAGACATTGGGTGGAACAACTACAAATGTCCCAGTGAAACTTGGCCCCTACAAAGGAAGCATCGACCTGCACATCGTAATCATAGATGACTTCGACATCATAGTGGGTTTGGAGTTCATGAGGCAAACAAACACCATACCGGTACCATATGCCAACATGCTCCTGATGATGGGAGAAAACGGGGCCAAGCCCTGCACCATACCATGTTTTTCCATAAAGATGACCGCTGAAAACATCTCGGCCATGCAGTTGGAGAAGGTAGCCAACAAACATGAACCCCTGGTTCCGGCTACCCTTTGCAGCAACAATCAACTATCATGTCATCGGCCTCAAAAGACTGGTGACGCTCCTCATCGTGTGAAGACTTGTCAGTCATGCCACAAGGACAAGTCGGATCACTCATCACAGACGAGACCCTCGCAGCCATTACATGTCCCTCAGAGACCATGGGAAAGTGTTTCCCTCAGATTCATCACGGGATTGCCCCAAGTTAGTAATCTTGCATCCATCATGGTTTTCATAGATCAGTTTTCAAACTATGCAACCTTCATAGCAGCCCCGCAGAACATCTCAGCAGAAGATACAGCTTGACTCTTCTTCTCGCACATTGTCAAACATTGGGGCCTGTCCAAAGACATTGTTAGTAGGTGCAACTCATGCTTCACTAGCAACTTTTGGACCCATCTCTTCAGGTGCTTTGGGTCAACATTGAGTCACAACTCAGACATCCATCCACCATCAGATGGCCAGACAGACCGGTTTGATGACATGCTGGAGGAATACCTCCGCAACTTTGCAACCGGATCCTAGAAGCATTGGGTGAAGCTCCTGGATGCTGCTCAACTGTGTTTCAATTCTCAAAAGAGCCATCATACAAACAAGAGCCCTTTTGAAATTGTTACCGGACAGCAACCGCTTCTCCCGCAAACGGTGAATGCATCAACCATGCCGAAATCTCCTCGAGCTGCCAACTTCTCGAGCGAATGGGAGCGCAACATGGGGATAGTGCGGAGCTATCTCGTCAAAGCCCAAGAGCGGGCAAAAAGATTCACCGAACAAAATCTTTACTTTGCCCAACATCAAACAGGGGACAAAGTAATGCTATGCATCCGAAAGCGGTACTTGTTTGCAGAAAGGAACCATGACCCTCGCCTGTAACAAAAATACATCGGGCCCCTGCCCATTGAAAAACGCATTGGGAAGTCCACATACCAGGTGAAAACTCCATCCTGGTGGAAGATCCATCCAGTCTTCCATGTCAGCCGCATGAAATCATTGCGTCGCTACAACAACAAGCTCACAGAATAGAGGGGCGCAGACCTCCCATCCAACAACCACCATCATCATCATAAGGCTCCGAGGACGGAGCCAACTCAGGTAGGGGAGAATGTCATGGGCTGCTTTCTAGACACGCCCCATGACCCCTTGTCCANTTAGCATTATTTAATTTACTAATGTTAATGGCTATAAAACTTATTGGAACATTTAAAAGTTCTATGTCCAACTTTAAAATAATTTAATTTAAAGAAATTCTACGAATATTTATATATTAAATTATTCGAATACCAAGTATATTTATATATATTAAATATATCTAAAATTTCTATATATGTAATGTCGGGTTGGTTTGGTTTTGGTTTGACTTTCTTTAGTTAAAACCAAACCAAACCAATTATGGTTGAGATTTTTTTTCCAATACCAAATCAAATCAAACCAAACTATAGTCGGTTTTTTTTTTCTCGGTTTGACTCGGATTATCGGGTTGGTGCGGTTTGTCGGTTTCCTTTGACACTCCTAATTTTTAATGCAATTACTACATAGATATGTAAATTTTATTTTGAAAAAATTATAAAATGGATAATCAAATCTATTTTGAAAATTAGATGTCTTGATCCTTCGACCTGACCAGATATAGAGCATGCTATAAGCTCCTGAGTACCATTCTGGCTTGTCTGAGATGGTTGTGAAATGCAAAAGGGGGACAAATAATTGGATTCTTTAAGCCTTCTTTATAGACCAAGTAAATTACAGTAATAGTGAATGAAGTTAAAGAAAAAAAGAAAAAGAAAATGAATGTGAAGACAGAAACAAGACAAGTTGGGTTATGAATAAAATTAACTCTCTTAACTAAGCTACATTAAAATGTAACTCAATCTCAGAAGTTGGGACCTGCAGCCAGTATCTCCTCAGTCAGATTGTTATCAGCTCCAATCTTGTAGTTTGCGAACACCTCAAAGTTCTTCCTAAACAGACCTCCCAGCTTCATGAGAGTTTCCTTGTACGCATTCTTGTCCGGCCACTGGAACATAGATAAAATATTTCAAGAACCTCGTATGTTAAAATGTACTGATCATTTTTTACACTGTCAGCGTATATAAATTGAATCGTTTGAGTGCAACGGAGTTATATTGGTAACTCACAGTGTTCGCTGGATCCAGAATCTGTGAAGGAACTCCCTCAAGTTCAGTTGGGATTTCAAGCCCAAACACCTCAGTTTTCGTGTAATTTGCTTCCAAAAGTTCTCCTGAGTGAATAGCATCAATGATCTTTCTTGTGTATGCTAACTTAATACGACCACCTGATCCATAGCTGCTTGTGATATGGAAAGTTCATTATCTAAGTCTAATTATATAAGTAGAATTAATACATGTTTGTGGTTAGAGTGCTTATAATTAAGTTATACCTTCCACCTGACCATCCAGTGTTCACAAGCCATCCCGTAGCTCCATGTTTCTGCATTTTCTCAGCTAGCATTGCTGCGTATTTTGTCGGATGAAGCATTATAAATGCTGCACCGAAACATGCTGAAAATGTTGCTGTAGGCTCCTTAATTCCATCCTCGGTTCCTGCCACCTGTATGAATTATTAATGATATTATCTTGACCTCTTGTATATAAATTCTTTACATTATCAGTCTATATAAGTTCTTATGCGTGCGTATACCAAAGCTGTGTAGCCACTAATAAAGTGGTACATTGTTTGTGCTAAGTTCAACTTGCTGACTGGAGGGAGCACACCAAACGCGTCACAGGCTAGGAGAATGACATTTTTAGGATGAGGACCAACACATGGTATTTTAGCATTGGGGATGTATTCAATTGGATATGCTGCCCTTGTGTTCTCTGCAACCAAAGCAATCGATTAATAAAGCCATAAATCAACATAAACTGATTAAAGATTTCTGATATGCCAGGGCTAGGATTCTAATCAATGACATTAGTTGAGACATTACCTGTTACTGATTTATCCGCATAGTCCACTTGTCGAGTACGCTCTTCAAAAACCACATTTTCCAACACTGCACAGAACAAGAAAACATATCACCACTTGCTGATACTGGAAATTCTTTAAGTAAATAATGTTTAGATGATGAGGTAATGAGAATATTACCGGTGCCAAACTTGATGGCATTCCAAATATCAGGCTCCTTCTCCCTTGACAAGTCAATGCATTTTGCATAACAACCACCCTCAATGTTCGAAACACCATGATCACTCCAACAATGTTCATCATCTCCGATTAGGTACCTATTATGGTCTGTAGACAATGTAGTCTTCCCAGTTCCTAAAATAAACATGTCCAGAAAAAGAAACATTAGTAACAAAGTTAGAAAACCAGAAAAAATCTTGCTGCTCCTCAAAAGAGATGACCAATCCCTTCAATATCTTTTACACCATCAAGTTAAAATCACTTCTAAAAACAGGTAACTGTCTATAGTCATTCTAATTTGATAACCTACAATATGTAGGTAAATAACCTGTTATAACCGGTTAAAATACACTGATAACGTCAAAATTCCGTACATTGTCAGTGTATGCAAGTTAAATGCGTACCTGATAATCCAAAGAAGAGGGCTACATCTCCTTCTTTTCCCATATTGCAGCCAGAATGCAGAGAGAGAATCTGGCGCTTAGGCATTAAATAGTGCATTAGACTGAAGAGACCTTTCTTCATTTCGCCAGCATACTGTGTGCCAAGGATCACCATTTCTCTCCTAGCAAGATTGATGTCTATGCTAGTGGAGGAAGTCATATAGTGAGTGTAACGGTTACATGGGAATTTCCCAGCATTGTATATTGTGAAGTCCGGAGTACCAAAATTCTCTAGCTCTTCAGGAGTGGGTCGGATACACCTGTCAGCCACGTAGTTATTTATACATAATATTAAATCCAATCTAAATGTACCTAATTAACATGTAGTTTACAAAGTAAAGGATACTTAGCTGTAATACAAAGGAAGGCAGAAACAGAAAGTTAAGTAGTAATCATGATCAAGTGCTTACATGTTGTGCATGAACAAGGAGTGATAGGCTCTGGCAGATACAATTCTAACTTTGATACGATTGTTTGGATCCCAGTTGAGAAACTGATCATTCACGAAAACCTGAAATATATATAGATAAAATTTCTTTAACATACAGACTGTCTAGTTAAGTTGCAAATCTTAGCCCGAACTGTGCTGATATATATTTGCAACAAATTATATACACGTATGTGTTATATACTAGTATAATCTTGACATTAATATGATTTGGATAGTGACATCTTAAGAGGTCTTTTATGCGTTAAAAATTGATGATAAAAGTAGACTTGAGGAAAGTAAAATCTAGTATGCAATAATGTAAATACCTTCTCCAAAGAGCATAGATAATCAACGGCTCTTTCTCTGTTGATTAAGAAAGTCTGTTCGTCCATTTCAATGTTAGGTGAACCCCTTTTGAAAATCATAATACAAAGACGACGTTAGAAAATGCCCAATACCAATTAAACTTATATTTGATGGAACTAAACAATCTTTGTCTGAAAAATTAAAGGTAAGCCATCAGGCAGAAGCAATTGAACTTTACACTATTATGGTTAGGATCCCTCTGAATGAATAACTTTTTTTTTTGTAGGGAGTGCATTACTCCTTGGTGGGCCGAGCCAGCTCGAATCCAAATTAGTTGGGCTAGTGAGTTTTGTATGCGTAATGGTTATCCAAAAGAAAGAAACAGATGAACTTACTTTCCCCACCAAAGTTCATTTGCAGTGGTTTCATCCTTAACAACGCGCTTGTCTCTTGGGGATCGGCCAGTTTTGGCTCCAGAAAGTGTGGCCAAAGCACCACTTGATGTGATGAATGAGCCCTTTTCATTCTGGATTGCTTGCTCATACAGCTCTACAAAAGGCAGATGAAGAATCGAAGTTAAAAAAAAAAAAAGTATATTGTCCTAACATCTTAAACTTCTATAAAAATTGGTTACACAATTTAACTATTATCAAATCAGGCTCTTTTTAACAGTTAACTGTAACATAAAAAAACTACACCGTCAATGTACAAAGCTAAAGTCGAACGTGAATAAGACAAGAGAATCGATCGGTTGAATCATGTAGGAATAGGGAATTAATTACCAGCAGGGGAAAGATTATAGAGGATGTGAGTGAACTTGAGAGCACTATCAGTAATGTTAGGTGCTGCAGTGTGTTTAGGCTGAGAGGCTTGCACCAACTTGGGCGTCTCCACCCTAGGGTCTCCTTTCACAACCTTTGGTCCCGTCTCTCTTGTCAATGATGCCAATGATGCACTGTTTTTATGCCCATGCAACAAAACAAACTACAACATTTAGTAATATAAATTACAACAAGATTTGAGTTTTAAGTTTTTTGCATTTGCATTAATGCACGAGCCATGAAAGCAGCAGCTATACTAATGCTTGCATTAGGTAGGCTATCTATATTTCCGGGATCCTAAATAAACATGGAATGCTTTGTGCACCTGACTGCCCCACTATAAAATGTTTTTACAATAGAATCCATTAATTACCTGATGGATTGGAGTTGTTGTTTCTGTCGCTCAACTTCAGTAGTGGGGATGCCAAAGGCACTCTGAATATCCTTGATAGGGGTATTGGGTCCAGATTTCTTCTTCTGAAGGGAATGCAACTCGTCCTCTGTCTGAGCTGTCACTGGAACTGCGCTATCATCGTGGCATATGATCTTATCTTCTTTCATCTTCTGTGTCTCGATCTTCGCCAGCCCATTGCCATGGGATGCCATTCTTACTTATCTGCACATCAACCACAGTTAAGAGGAATATAATAGTATCATTATTTCATTAATCAACTTATATTTTCACGTTTTTTGCTTTAGAAAAGTGGGCATTATTTAGTCATATGCATGTTATTTGCATGCATATGGAAAGAATTCAATGGTTGTATATACTCTACAAAGATGGGAAGAAAACTAACCAGGATCAGAGAAGAAGATGGGGAAATTATGATGTCGAATGTCTAAATGCAGTAACAAGTTCCAACAAGGAAATGGAAATTAAAACGTAGTGACATTTGGGCTGCTGCTAATCTCAGTAATTTATAGTCCTAGCACATTGTAGGCCTAAATTAAACCTTGGTCTAAGTAGTCATAGTTAATTAGCGGCTAAAAAAAGGGAATACTTGTCAACATAATATTTCTGAAACCAAAATAATAGTAAAATGAATGGTGAAGAATAAAGCACATTTATTTTAGATTTTATGGTAAAAGTTGATCTAGGGATAGGAGACGAAGCACTCGCTAACTGAATATATACTTTTATTATCCACGCACCCATTGCTTTAAAAATTTGTTCATAAATACAACAACTTACTTCACACAATTGAAATTAGAAAGTAAATAGAACGTACGTAGTATTACATGTCGGTATTTGGAAAGAGGTTTTTTTTTTTTTTTTTTTTTTTTTTTTTTTTTTTTTTTTTTTTTTTTTTTTTGTGTGTGTGTGTGTAGAATTTCCCAGATTTCCTGGGGTGTTATATTTATTTCCAAAATATAGGAGGAGGATGTGCCTTACCTCCAAGGATTACAACATAATGGTATACATCCGACAGAGGTTGTTACATAAGTTTGCGCCTCTGTTAAAGTACAAGACATTTACTACTTAGCTAACAAAAAAATTTGCTTTGTTATATTTAAGTCTAACAGTAATCATCTGGTGTTTGTCAAGTACAAAAGAACCTTTAGTTCCTTTTGGGAGTTGTTGGAAAGAAAGGTATAATTTGGCTTCGGAGTTAGTAGTCGCCAATTTTGCGAGAGAATCTCCTACTTCATTTGCCTCCCTGAAGCAATGCATAGGGCTAATATTGGTCTGGTTCATTATTTGCGAAGTGTCCTTTATGATCTTCTTCAACCTATAGTTGTTGGTATCACCCTCCTTAAGCATATTCATTACAAGCATTGAGTCCAATTCAATTGTGAAGTTTGAGAACCCATTTTGTACATACCAATTAATGCCAAACATAGCAGCTTGAGCCTCTGCCATGTTATTGCTGCTGCATTTTGAAGGAATTGAGAAGGCCATAATGAGATCTCCTTGGTCGTTTCTCACTACTCCTCCCAATCCCACTTTTCCATTACCATGAATAAAGCTTCCATTAGTGTTTACTTTAATTGATCCATGTTTAGGTTTATTCCAGCATACTGAAATAGCCTTAGGAATAGGTTGAAGTTTCATCATGTTGTCACAAAAGTTGGCCCAAGGCAATGTTAGCTTGCATTTTGGGAAAGCTCTATTGATTGCAGCTTGAGTATTCTAGTAAATCTGTTGCTTCATCTTGTAGTAGTTGAACCTCTTTTTATCACCATATTTGCAAGAACATCTATTCTTCCACATCTCCCAGCATATTATAATAGGATGATTTGGAGAGCAAGTTTGTGAAGAGCATTATTAGGTTTCTGTAGCCACCAATGATTTATTAATCCTCTAATTGGCAATTGCATAGGAATGATTTCCAGAGGGGATCCTATAGCTTTCCAAATATACCTAGCTGCATCACTCTCAACAAAAATATGTTGTTTTTTTGGGTTAGTGCAGCAGTTACAATTAGAAGTAATATTCTTACCAAGATTAAGGATAATATCATCAAAAGGAAGTTTAGATAAGCACAATCTCCATGTTAGGAAAGAAATTTTAAAAGGAATGCTAGAGAGCCATACCTTTGTAAGGAATTGATCTTTCTCCTTTGTGTCTCTGAATAGATGTAAAGCCGTCTTATTAGAATACTTACCCATTTCAGTAAGATCCCAAAAAGCTTGGTCAGGCAGATCATGCCTACCAATGTTGATATTTTCTATATGGTGAATGAACTCATCTTGAAGCAAATCTTTGAGCCTTTGGATATTCCATTTGCCATCTTGAATAAAATCTTTAATAAGGATTTTGGAGCTTTTGTTAGCATTTGGATATAAGGAAGCCAAAGGTCCCTTTCCAGTCCAATTATCCTACCATATACTTGAGTTTCCAGAGTTGATATGCCAAATAATGTGAGGTTCCGCCTTGTTTCTGACTTGAATCATCTTCTGCCATGAGTGAGAATTACCAGATACATTGTGTTTAATCAATGGATGGACTCTAGCATAGTATTTCTGGTTCATGAAAATAGCCCACAGAGAAGGGATAGTCCTAAACCTCCACCATCTTTTGGTGGCTAAAAGTATTGGCAATATCTTGCATTCTTCTGACCCCAATCCCTCCTTCGTCAAGAGGATAACAAAATTTTTTCCAGGATCTCTAGTGATACTTATTTGATCCCGATTGTATCCCCAGAAGAAATTGGCAAAATGTTTCTCAATAAGCTTAAGAATGGCTTTTGGAGGACACATAACAGAAAGAGAATAAGTAGGGAGGGCTTGAAGCACATTCTTGATGAGAATGACTTTACCTCCATATGAAAGCAATTTTCCATGCCAGCCATTAAGCTTCTTGACAATACTGTTAACCATGCCATCAAAGTAGACAGTCGTTTTTCTTCCAATATAAATGGGGCGTCCCAAATAGGTGAAAGAAAATTCCTTGTCCATAAAACCAGTATAATTTCTGATTCTATTAACTCTAACAACAGCAGTTTTAGGAGCAGTTAAGAAAAAACTTTTATCCTTGTTAACCTTTTGACCAGAGCTTTTTTCATAACTATGACGAATGTTCGTGATGAGATTAATAGAGTTGCTATTACCACCGGAAAAGATAACTATGTCATCAGCATATGCTAGGTGGTTAATGGGTGGACATCTAAGTGGAATAGAGAAAGGAGTAAAATTATTATCTAGCAGAAGGTTATTCAGGGAGCAAGAAAGTACTTCAGCGGCAAGGATGAATAAGGAGGGAGATAGGGGTCACCCTATTTTAGACCCTGGCTAGATTTAAAAAAGCTTTTCCTAGAACCATTAATGATGATAGAATACCAATTACTAGACAGAAGATTAAAGATCATGTTAATCCAAATTTCTGCAAAACCAAATTTTCTAAGCACAATAGTGACAAAATTCCAAGACATTCTATCATAAGCTTTAGCCATGTCCAATTTCATTACAACATTACCACCTCTATTGGTATTTGAGATAGATTGAACAATTTCCTGAGCTAAAAGAACATTTTCAGTAATGAGCCTATTCTTAACAAAACCACTTTTAATTAGCAGAGACTAGCTTAGTAAGTAAAGGGTTTAGCTTATAGAAAGGATTTTAGAGATAATCTTGTTAGTATAATTAGAAAGGCTAGTAGGTCTAAAATCATTAAAAGTTGAAGGGGCAACCTTCTTAGGGATAAGAACAAGACAAGTATGAGTATAGAATTTAGTGAGAGTCTTACCTTAGAAGAAGTCAATAACAAAGGCTATGATATCCTTTTTGATGATGTTCCAACAACTTCAAAAGAAAAAACCATTGTACCCATCTGGCCCAGCACTACTGGTGGCTTACAGGTTGAATATTGCATTTCTAATCTCCTCTTCATTTGGAATAGCACTAAGAAGTACATTGTCTTCTTTTGTAATTTACTTAGTGATGCAATTCAAAATAGAATGATCTATCTTGGAGACAGGGAGGTTAAACATGGCATTAAAATGTTTGATAGCTGCTTTAGAAATCTTCTCATCTCCTTGAATCCATTTCCCTTTATGATTTTTAATCGTATCCAATTGAAGTTTTCTCCTCTTTTCTCAGAGCAAACTATGGAAATAACTTGTGTTCCTATCTTTGTCTCCAAACCAATTTATGTTTGCCTTCTGAGTGTTTAAGGACTCCTGCATATCTAGCCATCTAATGTATTCTGCATGGGCTTTGTTAGTTTCACTCCTGTCTGACTCTGTGTTGTTGATAATATCCATTTCTTCCAAGCTTTGAATCTTCTCCTCCCATTTGATGACATTACTCTAGATATCTCCTATGGATTTTCTAGACCATTGACTTAGCTTTTTGCTGAGAAGTTTCAGCTTAGCTTGCAGTCTCCACATATTGTTGCCAGTGATATGAGTATCCCAAACCCCTTTAACAATACTGAGAAAATCGTCTTGCTTGGTCCAAAAATTAAGAAATCGAAAGTACTTAATATGACTTTTTGTCTTATCATAACATTTCATAAGCAAAGACCTATGATCTGAGCATGTTCTTACTAGATGTTTGATAGTAGTATTCTGAAATTATTGTGCCCAAATATCATTGATAAAAACTCTATCTAGTCTTTTCCAAATTCTTTTACTAGGCCTCCAATTATTACACCAAGTAAACTTAGCTCCAGAAAAACCAATATCTGTCACCCCACAATTATTCATACAATTCATAAAGTCTAAGCTTTTAGACATTCTGTGAGGGTTACCACCAAGTTTTTCATCCGGTTCTAAGATAACATTGAAGTCTCCTCCAATGCACCATGGGCCATTAATACCATTACTGTCATTTTCTAGGCCCGACCATAACTCTTTTCTTTCCCTAGAAGTACATTTGGCATAAACAGCTGTAATAGCAGTAGTAACGTTGGAATGACCTTCTTCAATCTTGATAGTAATGTGTTGTTTATCATTGGTAAAAACAATTGTATGGCAAATGTTCTTCCAAAAACACCATATTTTTTCCATTTTCGTTAGAGATACATCCCTGGAATCCCAAGAATCTCATATAGCCCTCAATCTTGTCCTTACTAACCATAGGTTCAAGGATCGCAACATATAAAATGTTGTTGGTGCTAATAAGATGTTTCAGTCTATGAATGGCTTTTTTGGACCTCACCCCCATAATATTCCAGAAGATTGTACTAATCATGGAAAATTTGGAGGGGTGGAAGCATTTCTTTATTTCATTTTCTTAGAAGGTGCAAATTTATTTTTCTGCTTTCTTTCTTTATTTCTAACTCTACTTCTTCCTCTCCCTTCTGGAAAAGGGTCTTCTTTCTCAAATAAGTCTTTGCTTGCTTGCCTTCTGATATAACTTGAGGTTCTTCATGGCTCTTATAAAGAGAATGATCAGCAATCAAATTACTACCTGGCTGCTCCAAACTATTAGTAGGAAGGGAGGTAGAACTTGAGTAAGAGTTCATTGTTTTAATTAAGAGGCTATTTTGGTACTTGCTTGGGGCTCGCCCCGTGGTGGGACACTTGCAAAATGCCTTGAGATTCACATGTGGAGCTTAGGTTTGTGTAGCTTGCGTCCCAAATGCCTGACTGTGCTCCCTAAATATGCCTAACATTCAATGTGCGTGAATCATCTAACATGAGTTCTTACACATATCATGTGTTGAATCCCTAATTAACACTATTGACCCTCAACATTCTTTAATAAATGAATGATAAAAGTTCTATTCATGTATAAATATATAAATATTGAGTAACTCAAATAATAATGTATCATATTGCAAATTCAATAATTGAGAATATCATGGGATAAAATATCATTTGAACATTTCTTTTGAAAATAGCTAGATAGCTGATTTTTTTTTTAACTTGTTATTGATCTCCATGCCTTAGTTCTATGTCACTCAAATTTATCAGATTTTCATTATTTTATTATTGAAAGTAATTTGATATTTTTTCACGAAGGATTAATGTTTTAAATATATAATTGATAACATTTATTAATTATTTAAATTTAGGGAGGCAAAATGTGTAATTTGATAATATTTTTAAGAAATTATAAATTTTTAACTGTTTGAAAGTTAAGAAATTATTGTTGGTTATATCTCATAATAACTTTAATACTATTGCATTATTTATACTTATACAAATATGCTAGAAATTTTGTTCTCTATGATTTCTTTAATTATTTTATAATTTTCTTACACTATTATGAATGTTTCTTTTATATTGTTGTTATTCCATTTTATTAATTTATAAATTAAAAATTAAAGATCCATAGGGCTTATATCTCGTCTGTATTAAGTAAAACTCTTTTGAAAGAATTTAAGTTATATATACACTGCATGGAAGAAATTATTTTACACTATCTAAAAGAAATAGGTAAGCCCTTCTAAAATATGAGATTTAATTTTAAAACAAGATTTTATTACCCGTTAAAACAGATAAATTTTCTTAAATTTGTTTCTTCATTTGCAAATTATCTCACTATTTACTAATAGGGCATTTGGCTAAGCTTATAAGCTGACAAATTAGCTTATAAATACTTTTCGGCTTATCTACGCATTTGATAAAGTTAAAAGTACTTATAAGCCAAGTGCTTATAAGTCAAAAATAAGCCGAAAATCATAAGCTGGTCACCCCCAGCTTATGAATTTTTAGCTTATAAGCACTTTAAGTTTGACCAAAATTTTTACTATTTTATCCTTAAAATATTTCTTTTTAGAACAAAATTCCTACATCAATACTCACTGCCTCAAGTATTTT